CCCCCCCCCCCCCGGAACCGAGTGGTATGCCCCTACCGATCAATGTCGCGGTTTTTTTCCCTCTCACTGGCCGCGACAGTAGAGAGATTACTTCATCCGTATCGAGTCGTATTATCGAGAGTCGATTTCTGGGAAGCTAGCGGTACCGGCTTCTCTGCCCGCCGCCACCGCTGCCAGCTCTCGCCAAATCAACTCTAGAGACGAGGCGCATAACGGGAAAGCCCTCTTCTCCGTTTGCGAGTCATAGCCGGAAGCTCATCGCCGCTGTCATCGTAGTCATCGTCGTCCTCCTTCTTCTCGTCATCGTCGTTATCGTCGTTTCCACCATCATCGGGACAATTTTTCATTTCGCTTTCGTACGCGCTTACGTAGCGCAGGAATCTGTTCAAAGCACGTCACTTCCCGTAATTTATATAGAATACGTGATGGAACTCAGAAGGAAATAGCAATTTAGGAAATTTCAGCAATTTAAAAATTTTTAGTTTTTTAGTTTTACGCATTCTCGTTTAGTATTAATTTTTTTTTTCGATTTATAATTCTCGCATTTTTCTTCTTATACTTGCAAATAATCGACAATGAAAGAAAAGTGTTTGTTATAAACCTGGCTACAATCGTATGGTAAAATAATTATATAGTTCTTTAGTAAATCGAGTTACCATAGAATGTTTAATTTTTTTATATAAGTACCGAAAATGATATGTGCAAAATTCTACAATAGGTTAAAAATGAAATAATAAAGAACAGAAATGTTAGATATAACTTTTCATGTATAATTTAGTGACAGATAAGGCTCAGAGATGTTTCTTTGATTAACTGCACACAAATCTTACCATAATAGACTTTTCTCAAAAACGAAATTATGATAGTTTAAAAAAATTACGATTTTAATGCTCACGAAAAAGTAATAGGTCAACGCCATTAGAAAGATATTTATTATACGTGAATAAACTTGCATGTAAATTTAATCTTGAAAAGTAAACATAATCTCACTTTGTTGTTTCGTTCGATGAAGATGTAGCTCTTGACTTTCTATCGTATCTTTCATATTATTTCATTAAGATATACACGTAATTTTAATATTTTATCCAAATTACTCAGAATTTATAATTTTGGATGGACTCTGGTA